GCCCCCCATGCCCCCCTGCCCCCCTTGGCGCCGCCACTGTATATATAATATGTGACATTCCTGTGATCGGCGTCTGACTGACGTATGACGTGTGTTGCAGTGCTACTGGTTTACCGTCGAGTTCGGACTCTGCAAGCAGAACGGAGCCGTGAAAGCTTACGGAGCTGGGCTTCTCAGCTCGTTTGGAGAGCTGCAGGTTAGTACATAGATATATATCTACCGAACATCACCGAATACTGCCGAATACTGCCGAATACTACCAAATACTACCGAATAGATTGATAGCTAGATGTGTGACAGTAACAAGACAGGTACACGTACATAAGTCACAGATACATTATCATGATTTTTACGCTACTTTTAAAAACAAGCTTATCTCAAAGGAAACAAATTTGACAACAAAAAAGTTAACGAGTAATACGTATAGGTTTATGAGCTGAACAAGATTATCGTGATGCTTTGCTGTGCTGCAGTACTGTTTGTCGGACAAGCCGGATCTACGGCCATTTGAGCCGGCGAAGACAGCCGAGCAGAAATATCCCATCACTGAATATCAGCCTGTCTACTATGTCGCCGAGAGCTTCCAAGACGCAAAGGAAAAACTATTGTAAGTTGATCATTATCCCTCTCATTTTACCGCTCCAGTTATAAATTATTTTCAGCGACAGATGGCGCGACGAGGTCATATTTGAGAACACACGTAAATTCTATCATAGATATACACAATACATTGTATATCTATGATCCTATGTACATTAAAAGTTAGGCCACATATATAGTATTGTATATGACGGTGGCCTAATGCAATCTAGTATATAGTATTGTAGTATAATGTATGCTGGCGGCCCACCAATGCACCATTGCCATTCGCACCAAGGCCACATATATAGTATTGTGTATGAAGGGGGCGTAAGGCCTCATATATACTATAGTAGTGTGTGGTGTGATGGGTCCTATACATATATATAGTAGTGTGTACTTATATTTATTTTATTGCTATAGTCAACGGTAGGTACAACCGTTTTGCCGCGTCTGCTTTGCACAATGGCCGCCTTGGTTGCAAGCCTCCAGCAAAGAAAATTAGGCTACTTCACTTGCACAGTGTATTATTGCGCCAGCGCTACACTTGGATGTGGATATCTGTCGCCTGCTGTCAAATACATAGAAATAGAATATTCTATTCACTGATCTCAATTATACTAACTCACTGATCTCTATTATATAACTACTCACTGATATACTACTATATACTACTATATACTGATACTATTATATAACTACTCACTGATATACTACTATATATACTACTATATACTGATACTATTATATAACTACTCACTGCATAATCTCTATTAATATTATAATAGTTAGTATAATAGAGATCAGTGATTCTATTCGATTTTTATGGTCAAATATGACCTCGTCGCGCCCTCTGTCGGTGAAAATAATTTATAACTTTATAAATATGTATAATAAATTTTATGATACATATTTTCTGTTACAGTACATACGCAGCAAGCATCCCACGCCCGTTCACTGTGCGCTACAATCCTTACACGCAGAGCATTGAAATACTCGATGACAAATACAAGATACTGGACTTAGCCGGAAACATTAGAGGTTAGTGTAACAGCTCCCCAGAAACACCAAATCCAGAGAGACATATGATACAAGATTGCGTGGCACAGCTTTGCTGTGGATCCTGAGCGCTGCGCGCGGATGAGACGCGCAGTTCCGCAGGATATGCGCACGCGACCGCGGGGATGTTCAAGTATGAAGCGCTGTCCGCAGTGGAGACGTGCGCCAAATTCGAGGCCCGGCGCATGTCTCCACAGCGGTCAGCGTATGGTCTGTAGTTTTAGAAGATAACAAGGAAGACTTTCTTCTAAATAAGGACTATCGGCGGCTAAATAAGAGCAATATACAGACCTTTGAATTTCTTGACTAGTCAGTCAAAGGGTTGGGGGTCCATTATGCAGAGCTTCCAATTGAAATGGCCCATGAAATTGTCAAGTGGAATTGTGTTTTTCGGAACCCCAAAGATCACGCATTCAGGCGTAAACAATAACAGCGATGATTGTGTTGAGTTTATGGCTCTTGGCGCACGTGCTTTGACGTAGAAGACTGATGAAAGGGCTTATCCTTGTACCACAGGCGGCTTGGAACGTCTTAATAAAAATAAATCTTCACACAATTTTTCACAATGATCGACCGCCTGTGTGCAAAATAGGTAAACGTATGTGAAACATATACGGTTAGTAATTACTGTGACATATTCGTGACTAACTGACACCACTAAATTGGTCAAATGTTCCATGCACCTTAAGAAATGTGAGAAATTACAAGGTTATCATCGCAGAACTCCCGAACACCGTACGTCACAATTAAGTTATAATATATGTAAACAAACACGCGGGTTGCAAGGTGCCTGCCTCCGATATCCATTTCGAGGCCCGCTAAGCCAAGCATAAAGCACGCGGGCAAGACGTCACAAACACAGCTACGTTCATTGGCTAAAACAATCGAGTAGCGCGGTTAGGGATTTTCGGAATTATTCAATTTTAAGAAAAACTTCAATGTTCAATGAATGACGCACTCGTTCACTTCCGAAAGCGGGTGAAAATGCCTAATTTTTCCACTTCGGTACGAAATGCATCGGCCGGGCCTGTCATTATTTACGAAAAGCAAACAGTCTCGCCAAACACCTACACGCAGTAACAGGTCACGTCGTTGACGCCCCATTCATGCCCATTAACGAAGAAGGCGGGGCTTATTCCGATTACGGAGATGCCAAAAGGCAACAGAAGGACGTGCTGGAAGACACAAAGTGTCAATCCTCGGCGCACCTCGGCATCACGGCCGTATCACGTCAAGCAATAGAATGTGCGCATAACCTCATAAAGAGTAGTTTTCAATGTCCAAGGGACTATATCGAAGACGGAGAGAGACAAACTCAGTTGATCAAATAGACAGATCAACACAACACTGCGGATCGCAGTGGAAAAAGCTTCAATTTTGCACTTAACCAATGAAGAAGGAATTTTATATCCTAGAAGAATTTGATATGCATATTATATTATCAGATCTAATAATCTATATCTATATATTTTTATAGATATGTTCAATGTAGTGCTTGTCGTTCTATCATTGTCATCTGTGGATATTGTAGTCAAATTCTAATGCAATTAAATAACTGTTTTTTGCTTTTATAGGTGACATGAATTTGTTGATGGATTCCATCGCCAAGCTTGAGTGAAAAATTGCTGCTATTTACACGTGAAGAGTAAACAATGCGACCGAGTGACTGCCGTCTATAAACGTGACGCATAAAACAATGATCGCGACTGTTGATTATTTAGAACACACCCCCTCATTGACGTCACTCATGGCACACGTGTTTACTGATGTCAGTCTCATTTTACGATTTATAATAAAATAGTTTCATATGTTAAAAGTTTGAATCATGAATTAGCAACATCGTGCACATATATGTTTATATGTACGACCATCCAGCGATAAATGACAAACATTTATTTGGTGACTGAAGCTGGAAAATATATATTATTTTGGAAGGCTACATGTTTAAACACGAGATTTTCCTTCCTTGTAATGTTGCATAATGGTTAAAAACACCTATAAGCATACTCACAAATATGTTACAACTAGTAGCGATGTATTTTTGGTATCAGCTTTATAACCACCGATGTTTCTCACTTGATATATTGAACGGAAAAATATCACATGTACGTTTGTAAAAACCCATTTATTCTAGGTTAACAATTGTATCAATGGCATTTCACCGCCGCATTTGTATGGCAATTGTATCGATGGCAGATTTGTCATGACGAATCTGTTATCAGGTATGGTATAGCATTTCGTCTGTTGTTTAGCTGATATAGTAGATGGAATTATGTAACATTTATTATGATGTACACTGCGTTTATTAAAAACATATTAACCTAACGCAGAATTACAATTGCATTTATCCAAATGCATTTCCGTAGTATGTGTGTGAGCGAGTGTGTGTGTGAGCAGCAAACCGCACTGGTTGCTATAACTTATGAACCTAACACACTACATTATTACTGTCATAGATGAGAAATAAAAGGATATATAGACACATAGCACGATAATACAGGCGATGCCATGAACAGCGATTCTTTGTACATAAATTGACGTAGAAATTTATTGTCACGCGAGTATTATACAATAAACACGTGTCCTGAATTCTTCATATTCATAAACATTTGCGTCAAACCGAGATCGATCCAGCAAGCCTTGATGCACGAAAACCCACATCTTTCACCGGAATGAAGTTCTGTGACTCGGATGAATTACAGCATATACGATATTTGATTTTTCAAAGACTTGATTACAAATAACTTATTAAACTGGAATTAAACGTTGCAGAGGCGTCTCAATGCAAACAGAAACATATAGTTACTATATACTAACTGATATTTTATATTACCATTTTACTGATATATTATCATTCATATCACTACTTGTTTTCAATTTGGAAATTAATAACCATGTACTAGCCATCCTAACGTTTATTCTTCGATTGTACACAACTACAAAGAAGTATAGAGTAATATGTTAAATTTCTGCCATTGCTTTAAAATAAGAGAACACACAAATAATTTAATAATAATTTACAACGATTTAATAATTCAATAAGCCAAGGTGGGAATCATAAAAAACATATAGCAGTTAAAAAAAAATATAAAGTGGTCATCGAATTTCACTGTAGTTGCTTTAAGAATAAGATTTTAAAGTAGTAGTGTATCTTCTGCACACACTGTTAATGCTAGAGCTGGCCCTTTACAAAGTGCATTCCCAGCAATACAATAGCCAGGTACAAAGGCAAGAACTAGAATCAACATGTGATGTCGTGCACAAGTTGGCGGTTTTACTATCGGAATGTACTGTTAGTAATATAATACATTTCAACATTTCGTGTACTACCTTCTAAAACGTTGTTTTGGGTTAACATTGGTGGGATGATGGAAGGGTGAACTCAGTACAAGGAGCGGTGGTCAGGTGGCCTCGGCTAAATCTGTCGCGACAGTCAATATCGATGAACAAATTCAAAAATCAATCAAGACATTCTATGAGATCCTCATGCTAGATATCTTTCCAATACAAATAGCATAAGGGCATCTTATCAAATTAATAATGATTTATAAACTATTAGTCATCATTGGCCGATTCTTTATCAATATCAACTTTCTGCCCTTTGATTATTACAAACTTTTTATTCGTACCCACTCGCAGAAGCATATAGAAACTTGTTATTCATATGGTAAAACTTACGATCTTATCACAAATACAAACAATTTGACTGTTATTAACCAAACCAATTCGATTCTTAACAACATAATTCAAAGGCTTTTTTTACGAACGTATGCTCTTAAACCAACATGAGCTACAAACCACAAATTATAACTTGTTCAAGCAATAATACCCACTTCACCACAACTTCATACCCATTTCACTGTAAACGAGTGTTACAGTATTTGCCACTGTTTGCTAACGCCCTGAAGACAAACAGCAAAGTCTAATGAACAGTCTGAGCATGAAGGCTCCACAATGAAGCGTGAATAGCAGAGTTCCTTGCTGGTCAGTGGTAGATACTAGCGTAGCTATCAGTATGATTTTGAAACACGTTGAATCTCAGTGTATTGTGTGTGTGTATTTTTATGTGGAGACGTCGCTCGTGAGCCATGACTGTTCTATACGGCGTATTCTGCGTCTCGTGGCGTGAGCGGTGTAGTTCTGTGTCTCGTGGCGTGAGCGGGTGTATTCTGTGTCCTCAGTGGTGGAAGCGGTGTAATTCTGCGTCTCGTGGCGTGAGCGTGTATTCTGTGTCTCGTGTCCGTGAGCGTATATTTCTTGTCTCGTGGTCGTGAGCGGTATTCTGCGTCTCGTGGCGTGAGCGTTATTCTGCGTCTCGTGGCGTTGATCGGTTGTATTCGTGCTCGTGGCCGTGAGCGTGTTCTGTGTCCGGTGGCGTTGAAGCGTGTTCTGTGTCTCGGCGTGAGCGTGTATTCTGTGCTGCGTGCGTGATCTGTTATTCTGTGTCCATGGTGTGAGCGGTGTATTCTGTGTCTGCTGCGTGAGCGGTGTAAATTACCGTGTCCTCGTGGCGTGATCGCGTGTATCTCGTGTCTGCGTGGCGTGAGCGGTGTATTCGTGTCCTCGTGCGTGGAGCGGTGTATTGCCTGCGTCCTCTGGCGTGGCGGTGTAATTCTGTGCTCGATGCGTGAGCGGTGTATTCCGTGTCTCGTGGCGTGAGCGGGTTATTCTAGCGTCTGGCGTGAGCGGTGAGCTCTCGTGCTAAGTTACTGTGTCTCGTGGCGTGAGCGTGTATTCTGTGTCGTAGTGCGGCGGTGATCTTGTTGCGTATCGTATTCTGTGTGGCGTGAGCGGTGTATTCTGCTGTCTGTGCGTGAGTGCGGTGGTATCTCTGGCGTCTCGTGGCGTGAGCGTTGTATTCTGGTGTCTCGTGCGTGAGCGTGTATTCTTGTCTGCGTGGCGTGAGCGGTGTATTCTGTGTCTCGTGCGTGAGCGCGGTGTATTCTGTGTTCGTGGTGTGAGCGTGTCTTCGCGTCGTCTGCGTGCGTTAGCGGTGTATTCTGTGTCTCATGGCGTGAGGCGGTGTGCTTCTGTGTCTCGTGGCGTGAGCGAGTGTATTCCTGCGTCTCGTGGCGGAGGCGGTGTATTCTGTGTCTGCGTGGCGGAGCGGTGTATTCTGTGTCTCGTGGCGTGAGGCGGTGTATTCTGTGTCTCGTGCGTGAGCGGTGTAGTTCTGTCCGCGGCGTGAGCGGTGTATTCTGTGTCTCGTGGCGTGAGCGGTGTATTCTGCGTGGCGTGAGCGGTGTATTCTGTGTCTCGTGGCGTGAGCGGTGTATTCTGTGTCCGTCGTGCTGTAGCGTGCGTGGAGGCGGTTGTATTCTGGTCTCGTGCGTTGAGCGGTGTATTCTGTGTCGTCTCGTGCGTGAGCGGTATTCTGTGTTCGTGGCATGAGCGGTGTATTCTGGGTCGTGGCGACGTGATTGCGTGGTGGTTATTCTGTGTCCGTGGCGTGAGGCGTGTATCTCTGTGTCTCGTGCGTAGCGTGTTATTCTGTGTCTCGTGGTGTGACGGTGTATTCTGCAGGCGTGAGCGGTGTATTCTGTGGTCTCGTTGCGTGACGGTGTATGAACATGTTGGGTGTCTTGGGTGTTTTACGTCCGTTATCGGCTGCGCGGTGGATATATCGCCACAACCTAATGGTTCAACGCTATGATTGTGGTTCCCAAGCCATGCGCCTTGTTACCAGTACGCTACGCGAGGGGCCCAAGGTCATGCGGTAAGTTCAATTAAATTCATGTAAACAGCATGAAGTATGGTTATGTGTTAGATCGGGCGTAGTGTTGATAGTTGTAAGGAATAATTTAGCTGTAATAATTTTGTTGTATATAGGTAGTAATAGATATATGCATGTTAGCGATTTGAGTAAGTATTTAATGATAATGGGGGTTGTAGTAATAATAGTGCATTATTTAATGCAACGTAATATAGCAATTGTTAAAATAATAAAATAATTAAAAATAGCGGCAAACATTTAGTATACAGGGGTAGGAAATTAAGTTTGAAAATTTAGCAGTCCCGCTCCGGGCCTGTGAAGCAATTAGTTTGACAGAGCCCGCCATCGAAATTTTTTCGACTTCATTCACTGGAACTCGAACTTACTCGAAGCAACCAATGAAAAATAATACGTCACCTCGTTAATAAGCGTACCCGAACCTGAACTGCTAACCTAAATATAGTGTTTATCAAACCAATATATACGAACCATATATTACAATACACTATCTAGGGTGGGTCCGCAACTGAAGTGGGAAAAAATTTCCCAGGCAAATTACAGCCCGCATCATTCCCTGATACCGCAGCATTTTATATAAATAAATACTGAAAGTTTGAAAGTCTTAACAATGGTTACGTTCGTACGCACAACACGCATTTAGGTAAGCGTCTCTCATTCATTATCAATACACTTGCCACGCGTTCACAAACACCACACTGATCATTTACTGGTGTGGATCCATATACATCTTAAATGGTGTGGACATATAGGGCAGAGAAAACAATGGCTTGCGTAGGGTCGTAGTTGATTTCATGCAAGAGCAAATAAAAAGGGTGATTAATTAAACATCTAAGAACCCGAAATCCAGTGCAAACGATAGGGTGAGTTTCTTTCTGCAGACAATAAATTGGAGACAACACACCCCACCACTTAACACTCACATCACCTCACCGCACACACACACGTTATACTCCGCCTCATCTTGAGGTTTATGGCTTGCTGGATACGGCAATTGACTGCTAGTCAGCAGCTTGCCAATTGGCCGTTTGTATTAACCTAGACAGCTGCCAGTTGCCAGCAAAAACTTCCCCAACAGTCCTTTTTCTCTGTCCACTAAATAAATTAGAAGTCAATTCTCTGGGCGATATATTTCCTATTCTTCCACCTTTTTTTACAGTTTGCCGTGTATATTTAATTAAACTTGCTCTCAACTCACAAATATTGAGACGGTGCTATAGAGATTCCATGGTTGTATTAGGAAACGTGCTAGGTCATAAATGCGTGCTTTACGATAACGCTTACGCGAACGCCACGAACTGCAGCAGAGCAACGATATAATAAAGTTTTAATATTTTGACTAGTGATCGTTGTTGTACTGCTGACTTGGAATCTTTGAAAAGGCCGAATGCGATGATAGAATGACATTCTTCTTTTTTTAATGCCACATCTGATCGTTTTTGTAATAACTAACCTATGATACTTTATTGTTTAACAACAATCCAAACGGTGAAATGCGGCGGGGGATGTCGAATCTATCCACAACCTAGCGGCACGTAAACCCAGTGAGCCGGCTGCCGCATGAACCCGTGCACGTAAATATACCTCGGCGCAACCAGCACTTGGAACGTCTCAATAAAAACAAATTAAAGGTAAATAAACACAAATGTATTTTACTCTTAAATGTCCTCTAGCATTATGCCATAGATATCAACCTTGTAATGCCAAGTCAATTATGCTCATCGCTGCAACACAAAGTACAGTCATCCGCATGCTAGCTGCTGGCAGCACTGACACATATATAGGTGTAGTTAATATTTTTTTATGTTGTTTATTGTTGTTATATAAGTGTTTATGAATTATATATATTTATGGCGTCAGGTGTGCAGCAGCTAGCGGTGCGGCGCCAGCGTGGTGACGTGTGGTTTGCAGATGAAC